CTGTAAAGAGACCAACATATTCCTTGTCAACCAACTGAATTTCTTCATTTCGTTCTTGTAGCACCATATAGCATCTTCAGGATTTTTCAACCAGCCCACCACCACCTTGGAATCCCCTTCAATTATTAGATGCTGTATCCCCAGCTGGTTTGCAAATTGCACCCCTTATACAGCAGCTAATAGCTCTGCCCTGATAAGAGTCTCCAACTCCTAAAGGACCTGAGTAGAGCAACACAATCTCTCCATTCTCATTTCTCAAAACACCCCTATTCCGAATAATCCTGGATTACCCATGCTACTTCCATCAAAGTTCAACTTCAGTGAGCCTTTAGATGGAGGAGACCAGCTTGTAATTAACTTGTTCTTTAGGGGTGAACACCTCGCTACTGCTGACCAATTTCTCCAAAGGTCATTAAAAGAGAATTGATGAAAGATTTCCAAAGTATTGCCCTATGCAACACATTCTTTTAATTCCTGACTGCTTCTTTCCTTTTCTTGAAAAATTCTAGCATTCCTTTCTTCCCAAAGAGTCCAAATCAGGGCAGTGCGAGCACATCTCCACATAAGTCTCCCTCTTTTTGTAGGCCAAGAGAAAGTAGAATGGTTAAAGATCATGCGAACTTCTGATCCAAACTGTGCTCCTGGAACCATAGCAGCCATGGAAAACATTTCACCAGTGTTCTTTTTCTAACAACATTTAACCAATGTATTAAGAGGCATCTTTGGTCTCCCTATGTTATTATAAATTCCACTTCATTAATTTTGGTATAGTATAAATAGTTATAGACTACATCGGGGTTTTTTTTGGCCACAATCTTACTGCTCCTATGCCTGTGAAATCTCCAATTAGTGGTTCAACTATCATTAAAGCTCTTAAGTGTCTATTCAAACTTAGAAAGAAAATATAATTACTCATTTGACATTAAACCTATGATACCTAGGTAACTTCACATGCCTACCTTACAAGTGTTGGACATGATAGTATCCGATACAAACACTTGATACTGAAGGGACACTTGTAGAATGTGCTTAATGGCATTAACAATTCTAAAATATGTAAATGGTATATTTTTTATAAATCATACCATAAAAAACTGCATATGTTAGAAATACAATTATATTTGATAAGATAATGAACATTACCATGGAGTTTTATCCATGGTAATGTTAGAAACACAATTATAGTCTTATCCTTGTATTCCATATTTGTTTCTGTTGGTATCTCTGTGGTAAGGTCAGTGGACCTCACGTTCACCCTGCTCTGCCCCCACCCCCTTCCCCTACCTAAAAATGATTCCTTTTACCCAGTTGTGAAAAAAAATTTTTAGAGTCAATATTATTCTAGTTACGAATTAGAAGCGATTGGTGTTCTGATTAAGTATGACCTAGTTCCTGTTCTTGAGCATTTCCAAATGCCAATGAAGTGAATCATTAATTTTTGAACAGCCTTAAATATAACTCTCATAATATCTTAACCTCGGCTTAAATTCTACTATTGCAATTTGAGGAATATGCCAAAGTTGCAGCAAGTACGCAAAATATTGCTAATAGATTCTGAAAAAGAAAGTATTAATCCATCTGGATTTTTTTTATGTTCAAATCTACATTTGTTCACCATTTATCAAAAAAAAACATTTGTTCACCTGGTGTATCCATATTGGTTACAACCAGTGGGAATTTGGGGTGCCTTTTGGTAGACCGACATGTTTCTAGAACTATTGATATTCCTCAGTACACTATGTAAATTATCTATGATATTAACTGGCTTCAATGACTGCTTTATCTATTCTTGTGTATATATGAAGAATTCTTCTGGTGAATAATGTGATTACATGGATGCCTGTTTGTATGATTTCCGCATGGATTAAAATAGCAATGTATGAATATGTTCTGCATGCTTGTGGATGCCCAATAAATCAAACAATGACTTCAGTTTTTTCTCATCAATTATTTTCTTGAAAATGTTAAGTAAGAGAGGGATTTGTTAAGCTTAATGTATTGAGAACTGATAAAAACTGCATTTATAATTGATAGGTTGACATCTGGGAAGAAAGGAAAGTATTTGGATCTCGCACACAGGGTCTTCGAGATTTAATGCTTGGAAAGGAATTGCCCCCTCCTTTGGACTTAAGCAAAAAACGCTCACGTTCCGTTAGGATTGTACGGAGAGATTCACGCTCCATTAGAACAGTAAGAAGTAGATGTTTATCTTATCTTGACATCTCTCTCTTCCTTTTCCCTCTTCATTCCAGGCATGCATACCAGTGAATTTAATTGTCTTGGATTTTGGTATACATATCTTTCTTTTCCAGTTTTCCAACTAGCTTGAAACAGAACTAACTACGTAACCATGACTTGCAAACTAGAAATTGGCTATTGGAGGCACTGCAGAGAAAATAGTGTCAGCATTTCATGCTGTGCTTAGTGAGCATCCCAGTGAAGATGAAGATATGAACAAATGCAAGACTGCTGTGCACCGTGTAAGGAAGATGGAAAAAGAGGCTGAGATTGCCTGTACTAAAGGTAAATACTATGAAATTAAAAATTGAGAACTGGTATTTCATTGTGATGGTCCATTAGAGATAGAGACCTCTATGCAAATGCTTGTTATGAGTTTCATGCTGCTAGATTCTCCAAGGTTTTTTAAATGAAATATTACATCTTGCTGCCTTATTTGAACAAATTTGGATCCATAGTGTCATTTTCATGGCATTTTGGTTGAATAAAATACGCTTTATCTCTTCTTCAGTGGGGGACCCAAAGCGTACAACTTTGGCAAATGAGCTAGAAGAGGAAGAAGCTGTTTTGAAAAAGTGTATTGAGAAACTTCAATCAGTTGAAGCAACAAGGGCAGCTCTGGTGTCTCAGTTAAAAGAAGCATTACATGAGCAGGTACAAGTTCATTTTTTATTTTTGTCATGGTTGGAAGCAAAGAAGTTCATGCTGTTCTCTTAACTTTGAATTTCTTCAGGAATCTGAGCTGGAGAATGTTCGCACTCAATTGCAGGTACATCCTTTATTTTTCTCCTTTTCCTTTTAGGCTCTTCAGTTTTTTATCAGATGAAGACGATGCATCGTCTCTGGAGCACATACCATATGTTGTATATCACTAAACCTGTTGATGTGCTGATGGCATGCACAACTTATTTTATTCATGGCTATGTATGCAAGCATTTGTATCAATGTTTTAAAACCTGGCCTCGAGTAGGGATGTCAATGGGGCAGGTTAAGTGGTAAAAACCCTCCTTGACTGGGTCAGGGTTATTTTAACCTTAGTTGGGTTTTGGGTCGGGTTTGGTCAAGGTTTGCCCAGACCAATCCCGACTAGTTGGCATGATAGCACTGAAACATTTGTAAACATAGCCTTTTTTCTAATTATATGGTTACTATTTGTGGGTGGGGTGTGTTAGGGGTTCAGTATCCGTTTTATTTACTTGATTGGGTTCAGGTTTGGATTAGGCCTGTGACTGCTTATCCCTCCAGGTGGATGGATCCTTGGTTCAACCAGCTGGGTCAACAGGTTGACCCCTGACATCATAAAAAATAAAAGCAACAATCTAATCAATGGGTCAAACGTGAACTTTTTTTATCTGACGGGTTAGAGGTCAGCCAAGCTGGAAGTGCCACTGGATCACTGCGTCAGTGATGGGTTGAAAACATACTCATCATTGCATGTATATTACACATGATTGAGAACATACAGTATGCCCACGGATTCAAGTAACAAATCATGATTATTTTTCTACCTTCTTGTTAATCCCTTTTGCAAATCTCTTTCCTTTCTCCCTATGAGCAGACCTCATCCCCCATTAGACCTGTTCATGGGCCAGGTGGCCCGACGGGCCAGCCCGGCCCTCGGACGGGCTTGAACAGGTACATGGGCCCGCGGGCTTAACCTCGGGCCAAAAAGCCCGGCCCACAATAAATTCGAGCCGGGCTCGGGATTTGCCAAAATAGCCCGGCCCGAGCCCGGCCCGGCCCGACCTATAATTATACCTAAAAACCCTAGTCGAATACCCCTCTTTTTTCACCTCTTTCCCTTATTTTTCCAGCCGAACCCTTCTTCTCCACATCCTTTTTCCCTTCTTTATATTATTTTTTTTAATGTAAATAAATTTTGAATTTATATTCTTTTTTTAATATAAATAAATTCTAATTTTTTTATTAGGTCGGGCTTCGGGCTTTTTATCAGGGCCGGGCTCGGGCCCAAGTTGTAGGCCCATTGGTTGGGCCGGGCTCGGGCCTAACATATTTCCATTATGAAGAGTAAAAGCCCGGCCCATGAACAGGTCTATCCCTCATGTACTTGTGCACGTTTTGCTTGAAATTATGTTCTCAATAACTTCATGTCCACTTCCATATTCTTTCTCTTCTTAAATATTCTTTTAATCCTCTAATCGTATATTACATAAAAGGGAAGTAATTAAGGAAAAGAGTTCCTGAGAAGTAACAAAAGAAGCTGATCTGGATCTGGATTCAACATGTTTTGATTTCTCCGTAGTATTCAGGTAGGATAATATGATCCTTCTAAATATGGCTAGAGGTAGGTTTCCCCTCAGGTTGGGGAGGATATTGAAGAGGAGGCACTGGGGCCAGAGAAGGATTTACATGACATTATAAAAGCAACTGGGTGAATGATGATTTCAACAGATCTCCTATTTGTCTGTAGATGATACTTGATAGGGTTTTATTTGGGAAAGTGTTCTAGGGCAATACGTTTGCCACTTTCACTAGGCTGATTAGTGAAAGTGTCCTGTGGGCCTGTTGAAGGCATGTTCATGGATATTCAGTAAAGTAGGTTTAGATGCTGAAGTGGTGTAAATTTGTTCAGCAGTACTAGGTGAGTCTTAATGGCAAATATATATTAGAAGCTTTCATGTTTTGATGATGTGAATTGTCTGGTATAAATTTTCTTTTCATTTTCGGCATCCATTTACAGTCCTGTATTTGTATTAGGGTTTATTCCCCAGCGATTGCTTTCCAGTTGGATTCTTTCTTGTTCTCTCCCCTGCACGCACCTATTGTCTTGGAGTTTTGGCTTTGTTGTGAGGATGAAAAAACTAGTGTCAACAATATGCTAATGCTTAATGACCTTTGACTCTTGTTTAGGTAGCACAGGCTCAGGCAGTGGAAGCCGGCAGTATGCAGAGGCGGCTCAGAAATGATACTGATGTTGCAGTCTCCAATGCTTCAACTGCGAATCCACAAACAGAAACAAATGCCAAAGCAGGGGAATTGCCTAAGAAGACAGCTGCAGCTATTGCAGCTGAGGTTGCAGACAAGCTAGCAGCTTCAACCTCATCACAGATGATCATGACTTCGGTTCTCTCAACTTTTGCGGCACAGGAGGCAAAGAATGTTGGCTTCGCAACCGGGCCATCTCAGTCAAAAACATCTTCTAACATGCCAACAAATTCATCTTCTGAATCAAGATCGCAACTTGAAAAGCCCATGGCAATCTCAGATGCCATGGTTTATATTGCCGCACAGCAGCAATCTGGTGCACCAAGCCATCAATATCAAACGGTTATGGTACAACCATCCTTACAGGCCCAAGCTTCTAGTTCCCAAGTGCAATATCACGTACTTCAAAACCAGCCTTCTCAGCAGTATGTTCAACCATCTGGGAGTGTTATGACTGCAATGCCTTATGGCTATAGCTATCCACCACCCCTGCCACCAGGTCCACCACCACACATATTGAGTCTGGCAGCACCATTAACACAACAGCAGCCAGTGCCACTGGCTCGGCAACAACCAGTTCTAATGACTCAGCAACCCCCAGCACCTCCTAGTTTTCGGCCACTTCAACCGCCAGGAATGGTGTATTACACCCACACTCATCAACCTCAGTAACACCAAAGTGCTTTTCAGTAGAGAAAAGATGTCTCTAGTAATGTAAACAATTCATTTTGCAAAAGAAGCAAAATTTTGGAGAATCCTGGTAATTTGTATATTGCAACGGCTCTTGGATAACAATTCTAATAATTATCATACAAAAATATGCATTGGGCTGTTGATTTTAGTAATCATACAAAAACATGCATTTTAAAAGTCAAAAGATCAAATGAGCGAAAAGGAGCAATTCATCTTTCTGGTTCAGTCTGAATCAGAACCGGAATGTATGGAGGACCTTACAGTCCTACGTCTGGTATCTTCATCATTGTCTTCATCTGCATCTTTCTTGTCGCTAATTATACCTGAAAGACGGTAGTTTAGAGTCTGTACCAAGAAGAATTGCAAAATTGATGGAAGAAAGCAAGTATTACCTTTCTTCACAAGTAAATTCTCTAGAGTCTTTGTGGTAAAATCATCTTTGCTGCCTAGATCTTGAAATCCAACTAGCCTATCTACTGCAATTCCTTTTCTGGAAGAGTATATCAATTTGAATTAAGATTTTGGAAAAATTATGAAACAAAATCTAAATTTCACAAAATACTATAATTGTCTTGTTTCACCCTGTCCCCAACTCTGGGGAGGACCAAGCAAGCTGGCCGTTGCCTATACTAATACTAAAATATAAATGTTAATAAATTTCATGGGCAACAAATAACAGCCACACCCTATGGGCTAGCTGATGGATTAGCAAAACAAGGGGCATTGAAAAAACAATTATTTTGGGCTACATTGTAACGAGGGATAAATAGAGTGAGGAAAGGGATCAACAGTCCCATCATCAAATTGTATAAAATGTTTACAATCTGAATCTGAATTTTAATAAAACACATATTTACTGATAAAAAAAATATAAATGTTAATAAATTTAAATAAAAGAGAACCTCACCTGAATAGTATGACACAGGGCAGAGTTTTCACTGCTAGTTTGGCAACAAAGAATGGTGCATTCTGCATTTCAATTCAACTAATGAGTACTCGTATCTTTTTGCTTCCCAATTTTCTTATTAGTACTTACAAGATGGGATTGAACCCACAAAACTCAGGTCAGCCAAAAATAATACATATAAAATAAAGAGGATCATCTAGATCACATATTGGTATCATGTGACTAACCTCAGCATCTATCTTGATGAACTTGGTATCAACATGCATTGGTGCAAGTAACTTCAAATGTTTATCCATTATCCTAAACATCAATAGCACAATCACCCATTAAATTATAATGTAATCATATATTTCCGATGAAACATGAAGGACATACTTGCACCGATAGAATTCCCGATGGTAGAAGTGGCAGATCACTTTCTCACTCCCTGTGACTTCACTTAAAAAATCCCCTTCAGATATCTCTCTGTATTCACCATGACCCTTTCTCTTCAAGGCGTCCCGCTTCTCAGCTTCTTTCTGTTGTCAAAAGTCCTTGTTGAAAAAACAAAAAAAAAAAAAAAACTCTATTTGATCTTTTGTACCTACTTCAAGTTTAGATGTTAATATTTAAATGTACATCAAGAGAAATGTGTCTAACCTTGAGGGCTGCAATCCTGTCAGCATGCAATTTTTCCAACTCTGGATCCTAATTTGAACCAAAAACAAATAAATATTATTGAATGGATAGAGAATAAATAGGCAAGCAAATTGAAAATAGATAGATCGTGCAACTTACATCCATCAACTCATCAAGATCAACCTCTTCATTGGCTGTAGAGGATGCCGGTGCCTTATCTTGAGCTAGCAGTTCCTTAAGATCATAAAAATAGTGAAGAAGTTAGATCCTATTGCTATTGATGAAGAGCAGTTCTGCTCCATGTTAACATCAGATCTCTATCAAAACTGTCCAATTGATGGTGATGATGATTCACAAAATGGACATGCATGTAGATGAGCACATGCATTTTGAGTTGCTGGAAATTCATTCATGGGAAAATTAAATAAAGAGATAGCAGGAAAAGGCTGTATTATAGTATGAAGACAAAAGGTGTCAAATTTCCTTACTCCACCAATATATGGACAAATTTGTGGTATGTCCATTGATAAAAGAAAATTTTAGGCTCAGTTTGGAAAGAATGAAAGGGCAGCCCAGTGCAAGAGGCCTCTGCCAATGTGAGGGTCTTGGGAGGGACAGATGCACACAGCCTTACCCCTGCACATACACAGAGGCTATTTCCAAGATTTGAACCCTGGTCACCCAGGTCGCAATGGAGCAACTCAACCGTTGCACCAAGGCCCAGTTTGGAAAGAATACAAATACAAATATGTACAGTGCAAATACATACAAAATACAAAGTTTTGCACTCTACATATTTGCATTGGTACTCCTTCCAAACTGAGCTTTAGGAGGGTAAAAAGCTGTTGACATCTTATGATAAGTCAATTAATATTTATGGTGTCATAGCCAGCCTCTCCAATAAATTAATAGAACCCCTCATTTGACACCCAGAAATGCAGAATAAGCATGAAGACCAATGCATTACCGATTTTCTTTTTCCTTGAGTGTGTCTTCTTTTTTTTTTTTTTTGAGTTTCATACTTTTTTTTGAGAAGGTAAGGTAAAAAATTTTATTGATGAAAGGTGAAAAAGTTACAACAACTTCCTAGAGCCCCACACATAGGAAGAAGACATATTACTGACTCCAAATAGACTGTAAAGGTTCTTTGTTTATGTAACTTTTACCAAACAGAGTTCCCTTGTTCATTAAGTAACATTTCAGATGACCAAAGATCAGACCTCCCAAAGAATGGGGCTCCATCCAAGGAAGGGATACAAAGATAACTTCACAAAACACTTAAAAAGAGAGGTGCTTGTGAAAAAGGAATTACAAGGGCATTCTTAACTTCTGATCACTAAAAAGATAATGGTTAAATAATGTCATACCACCCAACACAAAGCTACTTCAGGAATGATCAGTTAACTCAAATTCATCCCTTCTGGAGGTTTTCAGAATTTTCCTTTTCTTTCATTGGCAAATGATAACAAAAAGATTTAAGAGAAAAAAGAATAAGGGAATGGTGCATTCTTTGACCAAAGTTTTATTTAAAGGAATAAAGTAACAAAAGTACTGGTTATAGAAAGACCAAAACAAAGAAGGCAGATTTGGTCCTAAATAGAACTCAAATCAAAGTACCCATTCCTGGTCAACACATTGGCAATGAAAATCGAATTCCTTGGCCTCCAATTTGGATGCTCATCTAAAAGAGCTTCAACATTTCTAAAACAACAAGGAGAATACAGGTGGTAATAGGGCAGCTTAAACAAGTCAATATGTTAACCAGCTCCAATTGAATGGTTCAGTATGAACTTTGAATGGTTAAGTGGATCTGGCTTCTAGATATTTCACCTCCACCTGGTTGGAGTTGGGTTAGTCAAGCCTGAAGCTTCTGGTCATTTTGGCAATTACATAAGACCCAAAAATTATCAAAACATTGAAAAAACAACCACCTCTTGTCCATCCATGGCAATTCCCCCAATGCTTTTGGAGTTGGTTTCTAAATGCAACTTAAATATCTAAGAAATCCTTTTAGATTAATAACCCCAACCAAAAGAAAAGAAAAGAGTTAATGGGATTAATACAAGATTGTAAAACTGCTAACAAACTAGAGGTTAGAAATCTCCATGTCTTCATTACTTCAAAGATCTAATCAAATCTAACAACTCAACTTTTCTATTGAAATTATTTAGGACATGCCCAACAATGATAAACACTTGTTAGGGGCACCTAGCTTTATCTCTTTATTAGCTTTGTGAAGAACTTGGATCACAATCAATCGATAAAAGCAAAGGAAAGGGAAAAAGAAATATGGATCATTCATCCTTGAAACCACCTCTTTATTTCTTTTTTGGACAATAAAAATAGCATTTCATTAAGAATTAAGATATCACCTTCAAATGAAGAGAAACAACCAACAGAAAACCTAAAAGGCCCATGCAACAGGAATAACCCCAAGAAAACTCCCAATCCACCAAAAGGAGGCTATTACAAGAATCATTATACAGAAAACAGCTAATAGCAACCCCAACTCAGCAGCAAACCTAGGTATCTTTATCAAATAAAGCCAATCTTCAACATACCCCAAAGACTAACTAGAAAAGAACAAAAACTACAACCCCAAAAACCTTCAAGTAAAATTAATCACCAAAACTAGCCAGCTACCAACTTATTCACAAATACACAACCCAGCAAGTAAACTTAAATCAAAGGCATCCTAAAGCCTTACTTCCCACATCTTTTTCAACCCTGAACATACATACCCCCTCTACCTTAAAAGAACTTGCTAAGAACCTTCAGATCCCACATAAACAACTCCCTAATGTCCTGACCCTCCTCTCCTTCTAATCCAACATTGTTCAAACCACTTTTTCCTCTTTCCAACCCTACAGCCCTCAAAATAACCAGACCACAACCTTTAATAACTTCAGAACCTCCCTCACCTTTTTACTTATTTGAGCCCATCTCTTCTTTAATTTAACCAACAACAGGAAGAACTTTTATTTAAGTGCAAAACAATCAAAAGTAGGCAATGCCTCTGGCTTCTCGGATGTGATGACACAAAGGCCAAAGGACTTTCATTGGATATCTCTTCCACCCTATAATCACCTGAGAGTCTTCCCTAAACCTTAAGTTCCTCACAATCTCTGTTCCAGTCTAATGACACTTTACTCTCCAAGACTCCAACAAGTCTTGAGTATGAAATGTAACCTCTGAAGGCTGCTCCCACACTCACTCCCAATGGGCCCAAAATAGCAATCAAGGAACAGTCAAATTTAGCTTCATTATCCCTGACAATCAAGTCCACTGCCTCTGAAGTCCCCCCTATTAGCATCTAATGAGCACCCTGGAATTCACCAAATAAACAATGATCACAACCAGTCAAGTCTAGTAAATGATATCCTAGAGTTCCTCCCCTCCTAAAGAAAGAAAGAAAAGAGTAGCACGAATGTATCTGCATAATGTTTCTCCATTTCTGTGGATGGAAAAAAGAGTCCAGTCTCAAAGGCCCTTCACATGAGACATGGTAAGTTATTAGCACCAAGAAAGAAGCATAAAGTAATTTAAAACCTCAGTCATGTGTGAACAAAATAGACGATTAATGAACTGGTCATTGTCACCACTTACAAACCTGTCTTTATTCATGAAAATGCTAAACATTCTAATCAATGTTAAATACAACCATCCCCATCCTTTTCAATATCTCTCCCATCTTCACAAAGTTGCATTCAAAAGGATTTAATATAGAATTTGGCTATTTCTTATGAACGCTCCTTAAACAGTGGTAAGACCAGCTGAATTGTTTTTATTCATTTTTCTTATTTAAAAATTTGGTCATGATCTTACAAAAGCTCCTCAGAAGATTAATTTCTATGCTCTAATACATGATTCATCTATCAGAGGATTGATTGAGCATTATGGAAATCCATTTAATGGGCATACAACAGTCATAAATACAGCTCATAGAGAAGACACCAAAGAAAGAGGCCTTATCCTTTTCCAATTTAGTTTTTAAATTTCTGACATATTTATTTATTGTTTTATTATTCTTTTCCTTTTTAAAATATGATTTTGGTTTTTTTATTGGTGACAAGGATCATTACTCAATGTTGGTCCCAGATATCTGGGATCTTGTGAGGGATAGACTGGATATGGATCTAACCTTTGGCATATTTTTGCATTAAGTAACCATTCTCAAACTTGAACCTGTATTCTCATGCTTCAGATCGAAATCATGGGGAAAACAGGAAAAAAAAAAGGATAAGTCCTCAAGAAATTACTTTCTAACAAGTCCATCATCTGCAATATTGCCTCTATTCAGCACTTAAATTTATTTTGGATAGAACCAGTAATCAACTTTAACATTGTGTTATTACTTACATTCAATTAACAGAGAATTCAATCATGGCAAATCAGAATTGCAAGATAAAGCACTGCAAGTTTTCAGACATGGCAGCGATTCATTATATATAGGTAATTTCATTTCCAAGTAACCATCAAATACTAGTCATTCAAGCATATTCCTGCATCCTGTTGAGCATTGGCAACCATTTCAGACATGCAACTAAATATATAAATAATTCCATTTTCTTTTTCAGAATCATTTTGAATTTTATGAAAAACCATCAACTATTAGTCATCTAAATATATATAACTACTTTTCAGAAGAATAATGCTATATAAATGTGTCCCTTCTTGTGGCCCGCGTTGGCTGGTACCTCCAGTAACCTTTGCATAAGTCGAATTCTTCCAAGGATCCTCTTTCATGTGTAGTCTCAAAAAAGCAAAGGGAAAAATGTTTTATTTTTTCTTTATGTCAAACAATAAAAGGAAATAAGATGCCCATTTTACAAGTATAGGATTCAACAGGCGATGCTGCATGTTTCACACTCACCAGAGAAAAGGAAAAAAGTGGTTCATCAATCTAAATAAGTTCTAGTTCAATCATTCCGTTTTTTTATCCTTTTATTTAGTCTCGTATTTTTTTCCTTTTATTTCCATTTCATATTTTCAAAGAAAACTTCTATGTGTGTAATTCTAAATTTGTTTATTTCATTCGCGAACTTGAGAGTAACTCACAACAGCAAACAAAAAAACGCGTTACAAGTAGCCACAAATCATGCTTATCTCGTCATGTCTGTATTATTAGCTAATGGGTCTCCTATCTGCAATAACAGGTGACCAAAATACAAAATTTAATTAAAAAAAACGAAAAAAAAACAGAACTAAGATTTTTTTTTTCGGTTGATAAGAACTAAGATTCTCATAACCCATATTTAGAATTTCAAAACCCAATTGTGAGAATAGTGCATGAGCTACCACATAATACCATATACAGAAGCGGAAAGATGGAATCTTATGAGATAGAAAACGAATGATAATATAGTAGATCTAGTAAGGAAATATGTGATAGATTTTGTCTTTCATCGATCACTGCATCTTCAAGCTACACTTACTACAGAAACAGAAAATAATATAAAATCGCATAGCACTGAAAAGAAGAAGAAGAAGAAGAAGAAGAAAAAGAAGAGAACAAAGAGCAGAGAAATTGGAGAGACTGGATTACCTTTTTATAATCCCGGGCAGCTGCTGCAATAACATTTCCGAATGCTAAACTTGACAGTGTTGACCGAAATGAATCTGGATCCATCTCTCTCTGTGTGCTAGGTCGGGATACAGAGAGGTTGAGAGTTGAGAGGAATCGAACTACAGAAGATGAGAATGAGAAGAATAGTGAATGTAAAATTGTAAATGAAATGGGTTTATGAAGAAACAAAGCTCAACCATAATTACTATGAACTTATATTTGATTTTGATTTTGCCAGTGCAAGATTCTATTTTAGTGGCATCTGATCAAAGTTCTTATTGCCTTTGATAAAAGAATATTTTGTGGCAATATAACTAAACAGCCGTGGCAATTTAAGCCGGAAGAAATCACTTGGGCGAGATATTAAGGGCCTGTTTGGCAATGTTCCGCGGGAGTATTTCTCTTGTTCCCGGTGCTCCTGCGGAACCAAGGTTTAAAATTTCGATACAGTACAAACAGGGAGGATTGTATCGTATCTTTGAAAAATAGATATGGGATAGCATTAAAAGCGAGTGTCTCGTCTTTTTTCATGTGTATCGGACCCATATCAGGGTTGTGTTGGGGTGTATTAGGAGTGTATCAGGGCATATCGGTAGCGTATCGACGAAAAAGATATGGCCAAAAATTAGGAAAAAAAATAAAGGGAGAAAGCAAGCTTCATTTTCCCTAAAATAATGCTTCTTTCACACCCAAATGACTAAAACTCCAAACCTCATTCCTAGAGTGCTAGATTTGCAAAAAATTGCAACAAAAAGTGCGAATGTTATTTTTTGAAGATTTTTCAAAATTTGAAAAAATATGGCAAAAATAGGTAAATTTTTTCATTTTTTTACAATATCTTGTGATTTCATTTTTTCTTGAATATTTAAATTTATATTGATCTACATTTCTTACATTCAAAATCACAATTTTTTTTGTGTTATCATTAGATTTATGGAAATTTCATAAAGATATTCGAGGAAAATATATATTAACAAAAAAGTTGAAAATATACTTTTTTCTCTGCCTATAAAGACTAAATATGTTTTATATTTATGGATTTATCTATCATATCCATAAAGCAATTGATATTTATTCTTTAATATATTTTTTTACATTTTTATAATTAAAAATAAATAATAATTGTTTATATTTTATCATTTGACCACAGCAATTGAATATATTATAATTCTATGGATGATCTATCATATCCACAGAGCAATTGAAATTTCTTGTTAAATAATTATTTTTTATTTTTAGACTTAAAAAATAGTTAATTAATTAATTATATTTTATCATTTGATCACAATGATTGAATATATTATAATTCTATAGATGATCTATCATATCCACAAAGCAATKKRAATTTMTTSTTYAATAACTATTTTTTGAATATATTATATAATGTTTATTTATTTTTTATAATTTTTGAAAATAAATAATAAATAATTATTCATTATATTTTCACTTAGAAGTTGTGCCAATGCATGTTTTATGGTTGGATAGGAGAGTTGGGTTTTTCCCATCCMATAAAACATTAAAATTTATAAATTATAGTTAAGCATAGGACTTTTAATGAAATTATAATTAACTACAATATATTTCTTGATAAAACCAATAAAATATATTAATTTAATGTATATGCACCTCATTGAGGTCTTATATTTAGTGTTGTTGATGTATTTTTATGATTTATTAAAGTATTTATAGTGTTTCCAAGCGTATCTATGTGTATCTTAGTTTTTCTCCGATACACATGTGTATCTCGATACATCTCTTAAAATTGTCTTTCCGACACACTTGGCATTTCCGATATTTTGAACTTTGCGCGGAATAGAAACATGTTTGGCAAAAAAATGTGAGAAATAAACCATTCCCAAGTGAGAACAATGCCCAAAAAATGTGTTATTTGAGAGCGACAAATCAACACTCCCGAATAACACATTCTCAAGGAACATGTATTCCCACATCGTCCCAATTTATTTACGAACATGTATTTGCCCTTCCCATGTGAGAGAAGGGGCAATGTTGTCATTTTCGCATTGATGACATAAACTCTCCATCCCCCAAACACTAGTCCTCAAGCAATCTGCTTCATTTGTTCCCAATGCTCCCGCTACCATTTTCCAGTCAGAATCTCATACACAGGTAAGGTTTTCTTCGTTGTTGGCATTTCTAACTTTGTATGCTCTGATTTTTCATCCTAAATCTTTTTCCATGCTCTGTATTTTCTTCTTAAATGCATCTCCTCCTTTGTTGCTATCTTCACAAACTCAAACTTTTTCCATGCTCTGTTATCTTTACGAACTTAGGGAATAGTTTCATTATCCAAATACTGTTTTGTATTTTGTAGAACAAAAATCCATTCTCGAGAAACAATTTGCCAAATGCCTATATTGCTCCCAAGAAATAAGAAATAAGGTTCTTGTTTTAGCAAAGGAACATGTGAAAACATTGTCAAACTGGACCTAAATAAGAAAAAAAAAACATAAATCAATTGATCTTTGCACCATTTATAAATATAAGAGTAGAACAAGTACAATGGTCAAAGACCCTGATTTACCTTTTCCATTATTACCCCTGCCAAGTAACGAGCTTTTGTTTAGTCTATATTACCACCCATATATAAAAACGAGAATGAGACAAGTAGAATGGTCGAACACCCTGATTTTGCTTTTCCAATATTACCCATGCAAATGCATATATTATTTTATTTCTATTAATTAATTAATCATATATAAAAATTAGAATTACTCTTTTAATTTCAATTATATCCCTTCATTATTTTATTCCAACCTATGACAGTTCTTCCGTCTGAGGCTACATGGATAGGATGTGCAAAAAGGGTCAATTTCGTTTTTACACCTGTTTTTACAAAATGAATGCAAGTGCACAAGTGTTCTCATTTTGTAGCCTCATTCAACTATTGGTTCAATAAGCATAAAGAAGTCATTAATGACCATACAAAAAAAAAAAAAAAAAGTCACTCTTCTCTTTGTTTTGCAGGTTCATTAAAGCATAAAGAAGTCATTATGTATCTTCTTCTTCTCTAACACATAGAAAAGGTTTCCATCATTTATTTTCTTCCTTTTTCTAATAATACAAAAAAAGTTATTTTATAGGTTCTTTTATAGATCCAACCAGTGCTACACATGGTGGGGGTAGCACGTCCCCACGAATCACAATTACAAATAAAACCCAAAGGAGGAGGGAGATCCTGCAAGTTAAAACCTAAGAAATCTGTAGGACAGGATTGGACGTGACGAGCTAATCAGTCTGCAATTTGATTCGCCTCACGGTAGACATGACGGTACTTCAACCCAAACTCGAACTGAGTCTTCATGGCAGTGCAGTCTTCAATGATGTTCTTTATGTTCCACGGCGGTTGAGTTTCTCCACTGCAGACATGAGATGACAAGCTTGGAGTCTCGTTCTATAGTTATGGGAAGATCTTTGAAGTTTAACACCAGGTTATGGGCTTCTCATGCAGCCCAAGCTTCGACCATATTAATAGTGGCCTCACCCAAAAAAATACACCTTTATATCCAGAACTTTGAAGTTTAACACCAAGTTATCCACAACTATTGTATTTGTGTTTTGCAAGTTCTCCTGTCACTCTTCACCTCTTGGGACTGTTGGTTCACTAAACCAAGAAACCAATGCTGAAAATTTTAAAGGTTAATTGCCTTGTACATCTCTATTTGAATTGATTGTAATAGCTCACCTTTTTTTTAATACTTAATAGCGGAGCTTTTTTTTGGCAATAGTAATAGCTAACCATTGTTTTACATTCAAACCCTCATTTCATTAAACTACCAAGTGGAGGATTAACGCTTGATGATGGTACACCCACAATTTTATTTCTCTGTTCAGGTCTCATTGAAATCACCATCTCCATACTCTAGATGGCAATCAAACCCCATCCGATAGTTATGACACTAGAGGCTCACCCCAATACCCATGATTAATCATTAAATATCAAGGTAAATCCACTTTTAACATTTCATTAAGTTTTGGAGAGGGGGTGGCTTCCCCCTCTGGTGGCACACTGAACCTTGGTGCACCTTACTTGAGATAGGAAGTGTTTTTCTTTTTTTCATGGAATTTACGAAAATTTTATATTTTAATTTACAATTTTTGATTGTTCAATATTTCTTAACCATGGGGCCGTATAAATCAATCATGTAGTGAATTGATAATGGAATATGGAATCTCACTGAAGTTGAATATCTTCTACCCACTAAATTGTCCATATGATTAGAGCAATCCCTCTTAAGAAACCAGATCAGGAAAGTGTCATAGAAGACAGGTGGGTGTGGGGGTCGACTAAGGATGGCAGTTAAATCAGCCTATGGCCAATAGGACTGCTTTCCTTATCAAATTTGGAAAGTACCTTGTTCTTATAGGACTCAACATTTTTTATGTGGTTGCTAATTCAAGGCAAACTTCCAACACCCGCTCAACTTTATCATAGAAATATCATTCAGAACCTTGTTTGTCAAATATGTAACCAGGAACCTGAGGATTTAAAGCATTTATTTACAAACTGTGATGTCAGTAGAAATATTTGGACATATCTGAATATTAATACAAGTGCTGAACATGACTTCATACAATGGGAATGGGTAAGTCATTTGTTAAAAATTATGGACAAAAGAAACCTATCATTATTGTGTCATACTTTGTGGATAATATGGAAATCTATGAATGAAAAGATTTTCTAACAAATAAATGCAACCGTTAAATCAATCTGGTCATCTATTCAATATTATATAGATATTTTCCTTGCCGCTAATCTAGTTGTTTCGAGTGATTCCAAGATTTTGAGAAGTATCAAATGGAACCTTCCCCCAACACAGGTCTTATGGTTCAGTCAAAAGAAGCACAGGATTGGCTAAAGCAGGACTGTTTAGGGATTATAGAGGTTGTTGGCATGGAGGATTTTGCATTAATATTGGAGTAATTATGATTGAATTGAAACAACTGAGCTTTGGGCAGTATATTGCACAAAGGATGGTTTCCCCTCATTATTGAGTTAGACTCTAAGTCCACTATATCAGCCTTACAATCCCAAAATTGCCCAAATTGGAAAGAATGAAGTCCTATCCCAAAGCACTATCAGTCTGTTAAGCCAGTGTCAAAATGTTTTTTGACTCATTGTTATTGAGAAGGTAATAGCTGTGCTTACTGTCTAGCTAATATAGCTTATGAGTATCATAATTCTGTTTTTTGGAACAGTCCTCTTGTGGAAGTTAGGCAATTACTTTGGGAGGATATTAGTGATGTTTATCAGTGGCGCCCTTGTAATGTGAATATTGTTTAATGCTATGATATTATCTTTTGAATAAAAAAAAATGACATTATTAGGTAAAATTTATACCATAGTTCCATTTTCTTCCCTTTTTTAGATTAAGGTAGCGCCGCACTTGTTAGGTGAATATTATATTTGGGAAAAATATATAACCATCATTGCTTATCATATGCAATTCATCAAACTTAGTTGTAAGCTCTTTCAACAATTAAAAATTGCTTCATGTTCTTAAAATTTAATATACCAACAAACTTTACTTGAGTAGCATCTACATTAATTGAAGGGACAAACATTATTATTCTTATTTTATCTATACCCTGACTTATGGTATGGCTATTTACTTAAACTTCACTAGGAATCTTCAATGAATAATATACTTAATATTGTATAATTGTACAAGTGAGATGAAAATAAGGATTATATCATGACTAAAATAAACATTATTATTTTTAATGTCCTTTCTAATCCAAATTAAAATGACAATGATGGTAATGTTTGACTATACTTCTCATATCCTGGGCAAAAATATTGAAAGTTAAAATATACAGTTCAAGTCTTCAAACAATTATACAATACAATGCAAAAAAAAAACAAAACAGAAGTTGTCACAAAAAACTAAGATTGATTTTCATAACTTGAATATAATGGCAGATGCAAATGCATTAGATTGGAACAATAATGTACCAAATCAATGATATGAATAACATTACATATAGAAATGAGTAGCCCAATGAAACAAATAATTGACATAGAATAGATGGAGAGGCCACTGTAACCAATCTTATTTTTGGCACTGCCTAAAATCCTTGAAAACAGTTATTACTAATTATTAGAAGTAAATTAACCACTCTTTTAGTGGTTAATTTTGTTTGACAAATTGGTGAACAATTGGATTATTATATTCTTCGGTAATTTTGTTTGACAAAGACAACACTTGGACTCTTGGACGCAGTCTGCGAATCCAATAGTTATAATCATTTGGCACCTACTCAAGCTGTTGTTACAACTTATAGAAACTATCAAGTTTCAAGTACTTGTACACTCCTCCCCATTTCTATCACAAAAACACAACAGAGCTTTGACATTCACCACCAAGCTTCAATAAAAGATGGACTTCAATTTTCAACTAGCAGTAAAGTTACCATAGAGACCAGCTTAACTTTCAGCTACCAATAAAAGGCGAGAAACATCAGATGCTCTCAGCTTCTGCAAGTGCAAGCACATCGGTGTACATGCTAAGAAACTATTTCATGCACCTCCGTTTTCCACTTCAACATTTCATTGTTTTCCTTAGTATGAAGTCCTTAATAAAAAGTGGTAGGTGATAAGCAATTGCCGAAATTGTAGAAAAACTACCATAGGAGAACCATGCTGGTGAGTTCTTCTTCAGCACTGCAGCCACTGTCTTCTTTGCAAATTCATCTGTAGGAGTTGTCCTCACGCCCAGTGAGAAGTGAGCTCTAGCACGAATAACACTCTCAAATGGTTTGTAGAGTTTCCACTCAGGCATTTGGTTGTAACTGGAAATTGCAGAATATCCTATATTTGACTTGATTGCACCAGGAACCACATTTATAACATCAATACCAAGAGTACCGAGTTCCAATCTGAATAGAGAAACAAGCAAAAGAGGGATCAAACATCTGAAAATGCCTATATGAAAAGCAAATCATTATTCCGCGACTTCCTTCTAGTTAATCTTAAGCCTTAAATAGCTCTATAGATGGCAAATCTAAGAAATCATTAAAATATTACTGGCAAGGGGTCACAATCCATTTGAACCCCACCTCAAACATCTTTTGTTTACCAAGCAGTCTTGATTCATGTGATGATTGAGTAAAAGAGAACAAGTAAGAGAGTTAAAGTCATCTAATCAAGTGAAATTTCCAGGTTAGAACCATCAAATGGTGGGAAAATGCACCTTCAAACTTATGTCCATCTTCGGCAATGTTATTTGTAGAGATAGCTGATAGGCTATTAGTGTGTGTGGGGTTCCAACCCCACATTTTATATTTGCTGCTTATCTATTTATTTTTCAGTTAGAATAGTTGGGCCGGTTTGGCCTTGTTTGTCTTTCTTTTATTTTTAAGTAAGGGTATTAAGGTAACTAGTCATTGTAATAGATTACAATATAAATAAGACTTAGTGGGCGGCTAGAAACATAATTCAGCCGAACCCTTTCTTCTTTTTCTTCTTCTTCTCTTCCTCTCTCTTCCCTCTTCTATTTGTGACCTTTTTTTCTCTCTTCTTTTTCTACTGAATTAAATTAGAAAACATCTATTTTCTGGTCTAATTCTTTCAAGTTAGTATCAGATCCAAAACTAGGGCAGTTTAGGGCTCTCATGTGAGCCTAATCCAGTCGGCAGCATGAGAAGTTACTGAATCTGAAGTTTTGCATCTTCGCCCGATTCTTGGAGGATCACTGGAGTTTCGAATTGTGCCTAAGGGATTACATGACCTTTGGAGAGTGCCCGGTGACCAGGATGGATCAGAGAAGTCAGGCAAGTCAAAGATTAGGGCTTAATCTGAAGATTAAAGGTGGCGATCAAACTCTTCCTGAAAAAGAACTCACCTTTATTGAGATCGACCTTAAAAGGAGCAGTTGTTAACCTTCTGGAAGCAGCAGTTAATAGAATTCTGTCTCCTTTCCCATTTCTTTAGGGTTTTTGACAGTTTTCTTATTTAATTCAGCAGTTTTCTGATATTTCTGTTAGTTTCTCTGAGGCTTTTTTGAAATCCCACGGTCAGTTCTTGCTCCCACATTTTTTCTGTGACTGTGGTTGGTTCTTGGGCAACTACAGTAATCTGATTTTGATTTCTGGGTGATTCTTGTCAACTGAGGATTGTTTCTTGGAAGTTATTAATAATCTGAAATTGATTTATGGGCAATACTTCTTGACTGAGGAGTGTTTCTTTGTGGTGATTCTCGGCTGAGTGTTTTTCTGATTCAGCAGAGACTTTTTACATAAAAGAAGTTTCTTTTGTATAAAAAAAGGAGCTCAAGCTTTCTTTGATCAAAGTAGTGACCGTTAACATCTTTAAAATGGAGAAGGTTGGAAGTGAATTCAAGACTCAAGGGGAAGGTATTTGGGGGGCTAGAAGCATGACTGAAAGTTCTTTTCAAATTACAACTGTTAGGTTCGATGGAACAAACTACTTGGAGTGGGCGCAATCAGCCATGATGGCTATTGGAGGTAGAGGTAAATTAGGCTATGTGACTGGGGATATAAAGAAACCAGCCAAAGAAGACGCATCACTTGCCAAATGGGTTCAAGAGAACTATTTGGTGATGACATAGTTGTGCAATTCAATGCAACCCCACATTAGCCGAAATTATTTATGGGCAAAAAYGRCTAAGGAAATCTGGGATAATATGAAARAGACCTACTCCCAACCCCTTAATGTTGCTAGGGCTTATGAACTGAAGTGTGAAGTGAACAATCTCAAGCAAGGGGAGAAGCTCTGTGGCATGAAACCGACCATTTGGAAACCATTGAGTGGGAGAGTCAGAGAGATGCAACTACTTATAGCAAGCTGATTGAAATAAACAAAGTTTTTTAATTCCTAGCAAGTCTGAATTCAGAATTTGACATAGTAAAACAGACATTTTATCCGAGAGCGAGTTGCATCTCAAGAAGTGTGTCTTCCCTATGTTACCTCCGACATGCAGCTAGCTAATATCTTTACTAAAGCAGTCACAAAATTCAAGTTGGAGACAGATTTACACAAGTTGGGTATGACAAATATCTACCCCCAACTTGAGGGGGAGTGTAGAGATAGCTGATAGGCTATTAGTGTGTGTGGAGTTCCAACCCCACATTTTATATTTGCTATTTATCTATTTATTTTTCAGTTAGAATAGTTGGGCCGGTTGGGCCTTGTTTGTCTTTCTTTTATTTTTAAGTAAGGGTATTAAGGTACCTAGTCATTGTAATAGATTACAATATAAATAAGACTTAGTGGGCGGCTAGAAACATAATTCAGCCGAACCCTTTCTTCTTTTCTTCTTCTTCTTTTCCTCTCTCTTCCCTCTTCCATTCGTGGCCTTTTTTTCTCTCTTCTTTTTCTACTGAATTAAATCAGAAAACATCTATTTTCTGGTCTAATTCTTTCAAGTTTATTTATGCTTCCTCTCCCCTCCCCAAACAGAAAAAGCACATTCTAGATTCCTCTTCTCACAGCCCCTGTTATCCCCATCATTTAAGATTAAAATGAACTATGGCAAACAGATTGGTGAAAACTCCTTAGCAGATGAAATGCAACACCATCATCACCACTCACACTCAGGTACTCACCCCACTCATTCACTATCTGCCACTATCTGTATATTGGGTTGGGAAAGGGGGGAAGGTAAAGATCCTCATGGAACCTAAGAAAAGTCCAATTCTTCCCGCATATTGAACAGGTTAATCAATGCACAGTAAAAGAGTAAGGTAAAGTGTATATTCTAATGTCAAGACTTTGCCATCTAATTCAAAGATCTGTGATTTATAGGTAGTCATTCAAGGCTAATATAAGTTGGGAAATCTTATGTAATAACAATCTGATCAAATCAAAGTAACAGAAGGTAATTTGCAAACCTCAAGCTATCAGTGAGGGCATGAAGTGCGGCTTTGGATGCAGAGTAGGCACCTGCCCAAGGTCCAGGAGCCAAAGCAGTAACACTACCTACATTTACTATTTTCCCCTTTCTCCTAGCTGCCATTTGAGGGACCACAGCTTGAATCAACCTCATTGGACCTAGATATTTAGGACAGAAAACAATCAAATTATGTTCCAAATACACCACAAACAATGTAATACTATTCTTTTTTAAGAATATTAAGCAATACACAATAAAATTACTGGACATTTTGACAATTAAAGATGTATATCTATCTGATAATGAAAATGTGAAACAACTAAGGAGCAGCAACAATTGAGCATTAAATAGGCTAAATTAGCATTTCCTCTGAAGTACTGCATGAAAATTACATGGGGTTCCATGTATAGACAATAGAATGTATCCTCCAGCAACACTAGTGAAGAAATTTAAGACCTACCAGTCCTACAATAAGGAAAGCTTAGCTATGGAGCCTGAACGCCTGTATGTGCTTCTTGTACCATCTCACACACAAGACATATCTGGTATGCCAGTGGATATTGAATGGAGACTTCTATATATGTAACAGTGAAGAATTCCAATAACAATATATAAAATGGCATATTCCTGATAAAATATCAGGCTGACAATCATGAGAAAGTAAGTGGGTTCATCTGAAAATTGCCACTTTGTGCCAGAAAAAAAAAATAAATAATAAAAAATAAAAATAAAAATGCCAAAGGCTAGATCTGTATCTGGTCCGCTCCTCCCAAGATCTCAGATGACTAAGACCAATTTTGAATAATGGCACTTTAAGGAGTTTGTAGATGTAATATTCCTTTATGTAGCAAGATATAAGAGCTGAAACATGAAACTTGGCTTAAAATACATGAACATGAACATAATATTAAATGGGATTCCTGTATTTGCATTCATGCCTAGATCTCAAGATTGGGAGAGATATCTGCATTTCCTTTGGTGTGGCAATGCTAGAGTGAAGAAATATAAAACCCAGCAGCAGTAAAGGAGACATTTAAGATCTAGCTAGCTGTATTGAGGAAATTTAGATTTGTGAAGAACTCAAACCTGACCTCCTTTGCATTGTTTTTCCTCCATTGGGATGGAATATTCTTGAAAGTTTCATCAATTTTCATGCAAAGGCGATATAGGACATTGCTGAACTGCAATTTTCAATATCAAAATGAAGATCGGAATCTGATAACAGTAAGAAACACCATACTATACTTTCTGGCATATTGTAGACCTTAACACCAAGACCAACTGGGTTCAAGGAGAACTTAAAAAGTTTGGACTAGCTATGTCCCATGTATATCCAGAGAAGGATGTCTAACATTTTCTACTTATTAATCTTTCACTTTTTGACCCAACTCTATTTTCTCATCATTAAGAGAGAGGACCTGTTAATTAATATGCTTTCTAGCCCCAATCTCACATCTTGAGTCAATCAGCACCTGCCCATGTGTGCTTTCTTTTTTTTTTTTTTGATTAGTTTGTGTATACTTTCTAATTTGAGCTAGATATTTATAATTATCATATGCAGCAGATCTGTCGATAGAATCAGTTTAGATGGCTTCTACATAGCAGAAGAACCAGAAGGAGATGATCATGCAAGAGATAGCGTGGTTAGGACAATCAAAAAGACAAAAACAGTATGTGATAAACACTCCGGACCCTTGTAAGAAAGATGTAACTCCATCATGACAGCCAATGTGTTTTCTGCTAGCAGATATGCATGAAAATGAAAACATGGGCAGCTATTAGCATGGCTTACAGAAAAATATATAAAGTTGCAAACCTCATAGCCCTGAATGTTTTGATTAATGATAACCAAGACTAAAATAAGTATTCGAAACAAAAATCACTCAGATTTGATGTGTTAGCAGTAGGTTTTACTTGCTTGATTATGCCTCGAATTTAGAGTAAATCGGCTCCCAGATGTTGCACCTTGTATTAAAGTAAAATTCACTAAAATTCCAGAGTCTACCACCTAGTTAATGCAGCACACTTCCTTCCTAGTACATGTGACATGACAGGAATATGGCCTACACTTAAACCAGTTCTGCTTTTATGGAAAACCAGCTAGAAATATTTGAGCAACCTTCCTGTCTTTAGTTTGAGTCAGTTTATAGAATATTTGGTCAATTTGCAAGCTGGACGGTCTTGTGCTTGTAGCTCCTGGTAGAAGAAATATCCTCTTAAGATATACTACAATTTCTTTTGGATTATTCAACAATATGATCTTTGAAGATAAGTCTAGTGTCATGAGCGCTCTATATTGTACAGCTAAGAAGTAGTATTACTAAGCTGACAATCAACATGATGTCATGATTCCATCTATGCTGGAACAAACACACAGTGAGGCACTTCTGCTATTAATTAGCTAATGAAAAAAAAAATGAAAGAAAATAACGTAGAAAGCCAGTACACTGAAATAAAAAAACCTCCAAAGGTCCAAAACCAAAGCATCACTAGTTCAACAGTAAAATAGGCATTAATAATTCCAAGGAATTCACTGTTTATCCAACCACTTTTGCTATTCAGTATTCAAATTAATATGGGCAAACTAGTATACACAAACACAAAGACTTGAGGTGGGCATGGGAGGGATACTAAAAGGAATTATCAGGGTAATAATTAATTCCAATAATTTGCAGAGCAATCATCGACTGCTTTCAAAGTCAAAGAAAATCATACTAAAAAATAAAAATTGCATCCATATTTTGACCTCTATTACCCAGAAAAAAAAAGTCTAGCATGACAATCAGAGACAGTACCAAAAGGCACAAATCAGTAAAGGAGAAATGAAAGCAGCACGAAATTGGCTGGAAAGAAAGTGAGAGAATTACCGAAGACGTTGGTATTAAATGTGTGCTCGATAGAGTTGAGTGGGACTTCAGCAAGAGGGCCAATGCATTGAACCCCGGCATTGTTAACGAGGATATCGATCCGGTTGAATTTGTCAAGAGCATTAGTTAAGGCTTGCCGGACGCTTTCATCGGATAGAACATCCAACTCTTGAAGAAAGAACCGGTCATCGTTCTCGAGATCTGTCATTGAGCGCAAGGACCTACTGGTGGCAACAACGCGGCATTTCTCAGAAGCGAAAGCTCGAGCAAGGGCGTGGCCGATGCCGCCCTCGCTGCAGCCCGTAATCAAGACTACAGGTTCGTCACGAGCAGCCATTGACTTCAACCGGATGTTCGTTCGCCTCACTTCCCTTCTTCGTTCTGCGTTTCTCTCTGCGCGATGTGGATGGGGTTAGGCGGCTAGGCCCCCCTGGCATTAGCAACTACCAAGGATTTATGATTGGGAGAATGGAGACCGGATCTGCTCTTCACACCTGGCGCCTCACACGTACATACTATCATACAGTTGGAATGGTTCAGCTCAGGGTCAGAGGTCTGAAGTACAGTTGGGGTAAATGCTAGTTCGGCTAATTTACGGACGGGCATTTGTGTATAGAATGATGTTTTTTTCACAACATGGAGAGCCCGTGTTTGCTTTGCGTTTCCTCATTGTCACATTATGCCAACGGGAAATAGGATGCAGTCGTTACAAAACCGTCCTCGCATAAACGTGCAGCAGTCCATTCGGTTATTTCCTTTAGGGCTGCTTGGGTTGGTTTAATATATTTTTTTTAACCGATTTGACTTGATCAGGTTATTTAAAGAGAAAATTGAAATCGACTTGTTATTAAGCAAAACTGATCCAAATATGAAGGATCGGTTCGGTATTATTTGTGAATAGTCCTAAATTTGGTATAAATTTTCCTATTCAATAAAGGAAAAATAATTTCCATTTAACTAATGTTTTATTATTCTTTAATGTTATAAATAAATAACTAACTATAAAGAATAAATTATGATAGGGATTAACTAGTTAGGGAATGACTAAGAAATCATAAACTAACTAACTCAGTTCGATTCAATTCGGATTCGGTTTCGGTTTTGGTTTTTACACATGAAAACCGAAAACCAAACCGATTTATCGGTTATCCCTCTTGACAATTCAGAACTGACCAATGGTGAAGAAAAATCAACCAAATCAGATTGGATTGGGTCTGTTTGGTCGGTTTTGGCATTATTTGTGAACAACCCTATCCTCTCATGCATTAGAAACATTTCCCACATCTTTTTCATAAGTCATGTTCATTTGCATTGAAATCTGAAGTCTGAATGGCTCTGATTTTATTATTATAATTATAATTATAATTGTAATTATTATTATTATTATTATTAAAAACCATATTCCACATGGATCACCCAAAATGGGTACCCTTGTGACTCGTGTGGAAGATGGATGTGTTGCAGAAAATAGAATGCAGATATAAAGAGAGGGATAAAACCGGAATTAAATTTACAATGCCAATTTATTGATGGAATGTCAGTACAAATTCAGAGGTTTGAAGATTTTGAGCAAATGAATGTTCTAAAAATCTCTTAGACTATGTTTGGCTTGAAGGAAAATGTAGGGAAAGATAGAGAAACCTATACAAATGTCTTTCCCATGGGTAGGGGCGGAGTCAGGAAATTGTTATAAGGGGGCCAAAACATAAATGAAGTATGGATGGGCTCATGGGAGGGGCAACCATTGAGATGGAGAGTGGAGAGAGGAGAAAATTCCCCTGGGTCCCCCTGCCTTTGGGAAACTTATACAAAACTGTGTTTCCCTTCCTTTCCCTACTTTTTTCCTTCAAGCCAAACATAATCTTAAAGCTCAGTTTAGAAAGAGTACAAATACAAATGCATACAAAATACAATGTTTTGTACTTCATATATTTGTATTTGTACTCCTTCCAAACTGAGCCTAAAGTGTACATTATCTTTTCTGCATTAAGAGATAAGTAGTAACAGACAAGCTCTTAGGCTCAAACTTACATAATCTTCACAAGACTGCGTTTACACCATCTTAACAATCATTTGCAACTGTATACGAGGACTGAATCCAATATATCTCCTAATGAATATCTCCTAATGAATAAAAACATAAAGTACATAAATATATTTCAATACATGTGAGTGTAAATAACTAAATACGAGGACTGAATCCAATCTCCCTAGGCTACACCTTGTAAATTTGGATGGATTCCCCACATAGCGCATCCCGCAGCCCATGACAATTCACCGGAGGGATGGACCGTGATAGTGGGGCGTTCACTCTTCCCACGTATTTGATATGATGGACTGTGTTTTTCTACCAATGGAATCAAAGAATCAAATAGATTGGCTTAAAAACAAAATGAAAAAAAAAAAAAAATCAAAGAGATTTAGCGAACCCCATATACTTGGAATTGCTCTATATTCCTGGTCTCAATAACTTATATAATGACCAATGTATTTTCTATAAATTATGGCAAAGTGGAGGGACGGCCATCTTAATACGGTACACCTTACGTTTGAGAGAACATTGGGACCTTTGTTGTTGTAGAACAATCCAGTTACTCTAGTGAGTTTTGAACACGCCACCCGGATTAAAAAAAATGATGTGAGAGTGTTGAATTTATTGTAGTGTTTATTTTTCATCGGAGGTCGTTGAATTGTTTGTAGGTAATGCAAGCTCCTTAAGTTTTAATCTATTTTACATTGGTAACTAATAGTAGGTATATCTTGTTAAACATAAAAATATACATTCTATAATATAAAGTAAATTTGAATGTAATTGGTTAAGATCTTCATTTACATGCTAACCAAAATTGGTGAATGCAAAGGATTTTCGTTGAAGAAGGATTAAAAAATCTTCCCTAAGAAATAAAAACCTATGTTGGTTTTCACTAGGGGTGTTCATGATTCGGTTAATCGAATTGTGGGCTTATTTTTTGAACCAAATCGGTATCATCGGTTTATAGAAAATCGGTAACCGAAATTGATCGATTAACTGGTTGATCGGTTTGATTAATCATTGGTTCGGTTTGTCAATTTCTTGGTTTTTTATATTTATAATATATATTATAAAAAATATATAAATATATAATAAGAAATCAGAAATATTATATATATAATATTATATTTTAAATAATGAATAATATATTATATATGATAAATATATATTTATATATAATGCATATTTATTAATTTATAATATATAGAAGATATAAAAAATATATAAAAATTATATATAATATACATAAATATACCTAAAATATATAGAATTTGATGTACACCAGTCGATTCGGTTAACCGCCGGTTTTCTATATTGGTTAACCAATACCTTTGATTTTTTAAGAATGCCAAACCGATTGACTCAGTTAACCGGATTTATGGTTCAGTTTCGATCGGTTTTTCGATTTGGTTAACTGGACTTTTAGTTCGGTAGTCGATTTTTCAGTTCAGATCTTTTTTTTTTTTTCAGATTTCTTGCTCAACCCTAGTTTTGATAGGTGAATTTGGGTCCTTGTTCAATGGTGGGAGACTGTCTTTCTCAGAGGAAATGCTCCTCTTTTTTGGTGTTTCATAATGTTTGCACCATTGTAATAGGGATATACAAATATATGGGATCATATTCGAATAAAGGTATATCTGAATCCGTTATGATAAATTGTAGATCTGAGCTATAGGTCCAATGGGATCCCGCAAATATTGATCCAATTCCGGATATGATAAGGACGTTGGATATCCGAACCCAAACTGATTTAATCTTTAAAAAAAAATTATTAAAAGAAAAAGAAAATATGATGGTTTAAATAAAGGAAAACAAAAAAAATATAAGTAATTTTTTCAATTATTTTCATCATATATAGACATGTTTTTTTATAAAAACAAAAAATACAAAAAATTATAAAAATGCAATGTAAATAACATATTTATAAATAAATAGATAACATATATACCTTATATATATATATATATATATATATATATATATACATATATCCGATTTGAAAATCTAAAATTCGAATCATCTTCGGATCCATTTTGCACACCTCGATGCATACCTGATGCTCGTTTGGGAGGGCTTTCCAAACGCAATATTCAAATATGAAGCTACTTTGAATGATTTATCCGGAACATTGGTACCGTTACACCCCCAAACGCATAACCAAATGAGCTATAAAATAGTTTATATCTGTACCATTTATAAAAATGAGAATGGTAATAATTGTTGCGTCAAAAACCTGATTTTACTTTCTCTTTTACCCTTTATATTTTTCCTTTCCCCAGTATTTAACTACCGTAAAATCGCATGTTGTTCATCAAAATGCCAGATTGCCCAATTGGACGAACAGCCTGATATACATTACTTGATATCGGCATTGGCGAACAAAAGTTTATCTTCTCCATTGGATGAATGGTTTTTTTTTGGTGCTAAAAAGCGAACAAGTAGCAGAGGGTGTTTTACTACTTTTCTAATCATCATAAAAAAGAAATAAGATAAAAATAACCTAAAAATTAGTACCTCAACATTTTTATTTATCATAAAACAGGAAAATAAGTTTTTTGAGCTACACTTAAAAGTAAGCAAGTTATACTATTTTTCTATTCATTAGAGTTGTGAATAGATCAACTGCTTTGAGGTACACTTATAAAAACACAAATATCTTGTTCACCACTCCAATGCAACATCTAGTAACTCGCATAGCTACTCTTGGAACTCCAACTAAAAAAACTGACCATTTATTAGAAATTAAAGGTAAACAAAATGAAGTGATTGAAACTGTTATGTAGAAATAAACATGAGGCATTTAGAGAACTATTTATTAAAATATGCAAGTAAGATTTAGAGGATTAGTTCTACCAACAAAGATGGTCATGTCAACAATTATATCCAAGTAAGATTCACTTCTCTCAAGTGTTGATTCTGTCGATTCGAGTACCTATTCATTTGAGTGTTGGAGTACCTATTCGGGGATAATTCTTCGGGCCTCTGATTCCTCCTTTCTTGATCACAGGTCTTAAAGCGCAGTTTCGTTCTTGTAGCTTGGCCCCGCCCTGTTAGTAAAGATTATCTGGTTGCTCTTCTCAGTTTGTGCACAACCTCGGATTGAGCAGCATCAGATTGGCGTCGTCTGTGGGAAACGCACAAAAAACCTTTATCGAAAATCTTTCATTCATCACTGCACAATCAAGAAAGTGATCAAGATGCCCAAGAACTAGTCCAAACGATCAACAAGTCGATCCCCATCTCGAGAATCTCGGCATCGCAGCCCTCCGCATCAAGAAATTCCACAACCTCCAGCCACGGTTGATCCTGTACAGTTCTGAGCAATGCAAGAGAGTCAATAAGATCTTC